TTTATGCTTTAGGGGAGAAGCATAAAACCAACTAATTCCATGCCATTTGAATGGAAGACTCCGAAGGTATGGACACCAGAAGACAAGCGGGATCTCATCAACGAAGAAATGGAAAATGAACAACAAATGAAAAAATAATGAAACAGTAATGAGAGAGAGAGAAACAAATAAGATTATAGACAGGCTTAATTAATGAAGTCCACATGAGAAGACTCCTTTGGGATCAGACCAATATCCTGTCTAGTCAACCATCCCGTTTTTCACTGTGGTCAGCCAATATGCCTCTAGGAAGCCACAGTGAGCTGGTGTTCAGAGGCAAATTGCTTCTGATATTGGAGCTACAATTTCATCATCCTCATCAATTACCATTGGGAGCCTTATCGTCCAAGAATTTTCCTGATCCCTTTCTAAAGCCATCTAAGTTGGTGTCCGTCTCCATTTCATGTGGCAGGGAATGTCATAGTTTAACTATGTGCTGTGTGAAGAATTCTACTTCCCTTTGGATGTCCTGTCTGTAACTCACACCCTCTGATTCCCTTTTATTTTAGCCAAATCACACCCTGCCCTTCAATTACCTTCTAAAACAATCGCTAGGGAGGCCAGATAGAGCGGCCACTTTTGGAAGGCGGTTTGTTATTTCCAAGCAAATTACTTTACTTGTTTAGAACATAATAGTTCTTTGTTGAGGAGGGATTCTAGCGTGGAAACAATCTTTCGATCTAATTCTGATCTTCCTGACTAAAACGAGAGCATAGAAAGCAGTCATGGCATCGGTCTGCCTAGCTAATATTGTCTACACTTACCTGCCCGCAGACTGTCTCACCAGAGTGGTGCATGCTCTAGTTATCTCCCGCTTGGACTACTGTAATGCGCTCTACGTGGGGCTACCTTTGAAGGTGACCCGGAAACTACAACTAATCCAGAATATAGCAGCTAGACTGGTGACTGTGAGTGGCCGCCGAGACCAAAAAACACTAGTCCTGAAATACCTACATTGGCTTCCAGTATGTTTCCGAGCACAATTCAAAGTGTTGGTGCTGACCTTTCAAGCCCTCAACAGCCTCTGTCCAGTATACCTGAAGGAGCATCTCCACCCCCATCGTTCTGCCCGGACGCTGAGGTCCAGCGCCAAGGGCCTTCTGGTGATTCCCTCATTGTGAGAAGCAAAGCTACAGGGAACCAGACAGAGGGCCTTCTTGGTAGTGGCACCCACCCTGTGGAATGCCCTCCCATCAGATGTCAAAGAGATAAACAACTACCTGACATTTAGAAGACATCTGAAGGCAGCCCTGTTCAGGGAAGTTTTTAATGTGTGACATTTTAATGTATTTTTAATCTTTGTTGGAAGCCACCCAGAGTAGCTGGGGAAACCCAGCCGGATGGGCAGGGTACAAATAATAAATTATTATTATTATTATTAGCAGTGACTCTCCCGATGTTTCAGGCAGGGATCGGTCCTTGCCTGACGATGCCAGAGATTGAACCTATGTCCTGGCTTCCAGGTGGAAAAGTCAAAATTAGAAACAGAACTGCTAGAACCCAAAACTAAGAATCTGTCAAGAATGTATAACTTGCTGTTGAAATGGAATACTCAGGATGAAACGGTGAAATCTGCTATGATTAAATGGGCACAAGATGTTGGACATAATATTATGTTTGCTGACTGGGAACAGTTATGGACCACAGGTATGAAGTTTACGGCATGTAATGCCTTAAGAGAGAATATTATGAAAATGATATACAGGTGGTACATGACCCCAGTCAAGCTTGCAAAAATCTATCATTTGCCCGATAATAAATGCTGGAAATGTAAAGAAACTGAAGGTACATTCTTTCACCTTTGGTGGACGTGCCCAAAGATTAAGGCTTTCTGGGAAATGATATATAATGAATTGAAAAAGGTATTTAAATATACCTTCCTGAAGAAACCAGAGGCCTTTCTTTTGGGCATTGTCGGCCAATTGGTGCCAAAGAAGATAGATTGGCTGAGTATGAGAACTTTTTTTATGTATGCTACAACAGCAGCAAGAATACTTATTGCAAAGTATTGGAAGACACAAGATCTACCCACTCTGGAAGAATGGCAGATGAAGGTGATTGACTACATGGAATTGGCAGAAATGACTGGCAGAATCCGAGACCAGGGAGAAGAGTCGGTGAAAGAAGACTGGAAGAAATTTAAAGACTATTTACAGAAATATTGTAAAATTAATGAATCTTAGAAGGATGTTGGATAGAAACTAAGTGGTTTCCAGCTGTAATGCTTTAAGAGATATGAAAAAGGTTTACAAATGGGTAAAAGCTTAATGGTAAGGATTTGCTGAACTAACAAACTGAACTGGAATACAAAAAGGGAGGTACGAGGAGGTCCGGGAAATAAGTGTAAGGAAGATATGCTATGGAAAATTAATGTGTTTTTAACTGTTTTTACTTTGTATGTTTCTTTTTATTTTTCATTTCTTTGTTATACCTTAATAAGGGTTTTTTATTCTTTTTGCTGTATTTTGTATTTTCTTGTATTTTTATTTTTTGTTTTTGTGTAATTCTTGTATTCTTTGAAATTTTAATAAATATCATTTTAAAAAAAAGAGAGATTGAACCTATGTCCTTTGGCACGCAAGGCATGCTCTGCCATTGAGCCATCCCACCCACAGTTTCAACAACAGAATACAGCAACTGGTTCAGTAATAGAATGAGCACAAGAGCAGCGCACAGTCTGGTTCTGCTGTTCACAGAGAAGATGATTTCTCCAAGCTTGGCCAGCTCCTTTATTCTCTGAGCTTTGCTGGCTCCTGCTTTCTGTACAGGTGAGCAGGGATATGAGCTTGAGCCTCCCTGATCATACTCAGCCAATCTATCAGTTCCATCATATTGGTGCTATGAGCTGGAGACTTGCCTATTAAGCCATCTGGCTTAGAGGATCGCAAATGTTTTGCTGTACGGAGAGAAGCAAACCGCCGCCCCACACAAATCACCTCCCTGTGCTCTTCTGGTGACATCTTGTGCAAGATCTCTGCTGCTCCAGCAGACAGCCTGTTTGTTCAGCATCCACCCTCATTTGCATGCACAAAGCTTAGACCAGGGGGGTTAGACCATGGGTAGGCAAACTAAAGCCCGGGGGCCAGATCCAGCCCAATCACCTTGTAAATCCGGCCCTCAGGTGGTCTGGGAATCAGCTTGTTTTTACATGAGTAGAATGTGTCCTTTTATTTAAAATGCATCTCTGGGTTATTTTTGGGGCATAGGAATTCATTCATTTCCCCCCTCCTTCAAAATATAGTCTGGCCTCCCACAAGATCTGAGGGACAGTGGACCGGCCCCCTGTTAAAAAAAATTAGCTGACCCCTGGGTTAGACCATGGCTGGATGAAGACTTTTAGAGATCTGTAGAGACCCTAAAGCACTGAACAGATTATGGTGCCCTAACCATATTATTTCAAAATGAAAACGAAAGAGTAACTTACGCAGGGGTTATGTTCTGGGGATTGCGTCTAAAGCCAAAATTCTGTGTTGTCAATGATGGGTGGAATTACCAAAGTCATTTTTCCAGGAAACGTGCTCCCTCTCCATTTTATATATATAGAGAGAGGAGATGCAGGGGAGGAGATTTTGGCAAGTCTGGGAGGGGGTAAAACCTCTAAGGAGGTGAATTCCATTACGTCTTGTTAAAGTCTGAGCATACTGTTGGGGATGGGGACTCAGTGTGTGCATGTGGAATGGAAAAAGAGGGAATTGTGTAATATGGGGGTATCATGGAAGATAACATGGCTAGTGGATGGGTGGAACCCTGAACAGAAGCACTGCATTCTACAACCTTTTTTGCCAGTCCCAGCCAATCTCTGAAGTCGGAATAACTGGCCATACATAGGATTATGTTCATCCCACAAAGAGGCAGGTTCTACAGCCAGGGCACCCAGTTGCTGAATACAATCAGATTTAACAAGCATCTGCCTGTCCTAGTCCATCTTTCTTTTCAAAGCAAATATGAAAGACCTTCCTTCTTTTTTCCCCTGTAAGGCATTTGATGAGAAGGTTAATAACACACATTAGGTAGACAAGTGCCAAAGCTTTCCTCCTCCTTTTGATTTCGCAAGGCTTTAATCTTTGTTCCAGCTGTTCTAACCATCTGGCAGGGGCACTCAGAGGGGAATCTCTAAAGAGGATGACATGCACTCAGTAGCCACGATACCACTGATGGTTCTTCCTGTGCTGAAATGCTTGTCTGGAGCCAACCTCTCCAACCAACTGGCAGCTTTGGTGGTTCAGTCAGGGGTTGCCAACCCTTTTGGGGGGCAGTAGACACATTTGGTGCTGTGGGTTAAACCACAGAGCCTAGGACTTGCCGATCAGAAGGTTGGCGGTTTGAATCCCCACGACGGGGTGAGCTCCCATTGCTCGGTCCCTGCTCCTGCCAACCTAGCAGTTCAAAAGCACGTCAAATTGCAAGTAGATAAATAGGTACCGCTCCAGCGGGAAGGTAAACAGTGTTTCCGTGTGCTGCTCTGGTTTGCCAGAAGCGGCTTAGTTGTGCTGGCCACATGACCCAGAAGCTGTACGCCAGCTCCCTCGGCCAATAAAGCGAGATGAGCGCCGCAACCCCAGAGTCGGTCACGACTGGACCTAGTGGTCAGGGGTACCCTTACCTTTACCTAGACACATTTTGAGAAAGTAATCAACTAAGTTTTATTCAGAGAGAACCCACTGAAATCAATGAATGCAGTGAAGCTAGGTCCATCAATTTCAATGGGTCCATGCTGAGTAAAACTTGACTGACTACCATCCATCGGCATCAGCCCAAAATTGGTTATGTTAAATTGTTGTTGTTGTTATTGTTAGAATCATGGAGTGTGCTGCAGGTTAGCAAGTGATGGGACTTGGAGGCAGGACCTGCTGCCTCTGTGGATTCTGCCGCCTGAGGTGGTTGCTTCACCTTGCCTGATGGGTGGACCTGCCCTGCTTAGTAAGGTCCATTGCTTATCGTGGTGGTCCTAGCATGGGGAAGGGCCATAGCTCAGTGTCAGAGCATCTACCTTGGAAGCAGAAGGTCCCAGGTTCAATCCCCAGCATCTCCAGGTAAGGCTGTCTGAAATCTGCGTCAGCCTCGATGGCTCAACTGGTTAGAGTGTGGTTCTGGGAATGCTGCATGTTCTTTCATTACAGGGGGTTGGACTAGATGATCCCCAGGGTCTCTTCCAACTCTACAATTCTATGATTCAATCCAGAAAGCTGCTACTGGACAGTGTAGACAATACAGTCACACCCCGGGTTACAGACGCTTCAGGTTGCGCATTTTTGGGTTACGGACGCACTGAAACCCGGAAGTACCAGAACGGGTTACTTCCGGGTTCTGGCGCTCATGCATGCACAGAAACACTAAATTGTGCATGCGCAGAAGCACGAATCACAACCCGCGCATGCGCAGACGTGGTGCTGTGGGTTGCAAACACTGTGGGCTGCGAACGTGCATGCCACATGGATCATGTTCACAACCCGAGCGTCCACTGTACTTAGCTAGATGGATCAATGTTCTGACTGCATAAGGCAGTTCCTACAAGTGTTCCTGATGTTGGGAAAGATGGAGGGCACAAGGAGAAGGGAACGACAGAGGACGAGATGGTTGGACAGTGTTCTGGAAGCTACTAACATGAGTTTGACCAAACTGCGGGAGGCAGTGGAAGACAGGAGTGCCTGGCGTGCTCTGGTCCAGGGGGTCATGAAGAGTTGGACACGACTAAACAACTAAACAACAACAATAAGTGTTCCTACAAATACTCCGCATGTGACAGTGACAATAGCTGTATATCCAGGGAAAGCGACCCCCGCCAGACCAGCTCTCTCTCTTCCCTCTCTGGCTCTTTTCCAACAAACCTTCCTCGAAAGAAGGATTAAATGTCTTCTCCCTCGACTGTCTCCGTCCCTTTATTGATCTGCGCTCAAATGCCTTGGCTAAATATATCCGCCTGCGCTCTCACATCTAGGTTAACCTGTCTCGTCCAGGTCGCTTCCTAGGAGTCCCTTCTAGGAAAGTCACCCAGCGCTGAAGATGTAAGGCGAGGCGGCGTCTCCTTTCTATATGTGTCTTATATTTCTCACCTGCCTTTCCGCCCTGTCCAAGCAAGGAGGTGCGCAGCTGGGGCAAACCTGAGCGAGAGACGCCCCGGCCTGGCCGCGAGGGGGCGCAGCGTCACCCTCGTCCTGCGCTCCCAAGAATCATAAGTCCTGAGGCAGATGGCAGAGACTGATGGCTCGCCGGTGGAAGCGGCCGCCTGGACTCCCAGCTGCGCGCCGCCACCATCGCCGGCCGGAGGAAACACGTGCAAGGCGCACACACGCGCTCGCTTAGCGGCTTCTGCAGTGGGGCGAGGCGGAGACTGTTGCTGCCCGGCTCTGCTTGCCTCCCTCGCGGGCTTCTCTGCTGCAGGAGACCGTGCGGGGTTGCAAAGATGTGAAGAGCAGGGAGGGTCTCTCTGCGCGTGGGGAACGCGACCGGGCTGCTAAGGGAGCGCAGATCGGACTTCTGGTGAGGCCAGAGGGATACCCCTCCCCTCTCCCCCACGGCACGATCCGCCCTCCCACCTCCGGACAGGTAAGCTGCATCCACCGCCTCCCGCGTTTGCGATGGAGAGCGCGCCGCGCGCAAAGATGGGTGTCAAGAGGACAGGGTGTGTGTGTGTGTGTGTGTGTGTGTGTGTAATTCCAGGTGTCTAGTTCCCCCTCCGTCCGGCCCGCCCCGCCCCCCACCGCGGGGAGGGAGCCCCTCTACCTCTGCAAGTTTGAGAAAGTCACCTTGACCTGACAGCCACCAGGGTCGTTCCTGGCAAGGTTGAGGACCCCCCTAAGGTGTCCAGTCTTCGAGATCTCCCTCCTCGCTTTTAAATGAATGGGGCTACTGGCTTCTCTGGAAGGTGGGCTTGATGAGATGTGGGTCACCCCCTGCTCGCAGCAGGGAAGTGTGCCTTTGTGTATGTTTGCTGGGAGGGGGAGGGAAATCTAATGTATATGTGTGTGCGTGTGTGAATAAACAATGCTAGGAATCGCCCCCGCCTTCTCTAAAGTATGTTAATTCTCTAAAATGGATGTGCTTCTTCTTCGCCTAATCCGCTCTCGCTGCAAATGCATCGCGGTGGTGCTGGTGAGTGGGGCGGAGGGGGGGGAGCGGAGTAATGCGGGCAGAGCCCCAATTCCCAGTTAAATGCCAGATCAGCTGTTACTTAAAAGGAGGAGATTTTTTTTTAATGTAATAGCTTGCTGCCAAAGAGAAATCCCCCCCCTTTCCGTTGTTGTTGTTTGTTGTTGGAGAAGCTTCCTGACAAAAGACGCCCCCTCCCCCTCCTCAACGCCGCTGCTTCGCAATAGTGCAGACGGACAAAGCGAGCGCACGTGCGAGTGTGCGGGCGCCAGGGTGCGCCACCCCCGGAGGGCAAAATTGCAGAGGATGACGCCCCCGGCAACACTGGGCGATGGGAAGTGCCTCCACGCACAGACTTATCGCTGGGTTTTGCTTTGGGGTTTTTTTGCGGGGAGGGATCTAAAGGACTGAGATTTGTGCTATGAAAGGGCTCAGTCGCCCTAGAGAGACAAATCATCCGCTTAGGGAGGAGAAATGAACAGGGCTTTTGCGGTTAAGAAAGTGATAGGGAAAGTTTGAAATGGAACGACGGATGGGAAGGCGTTATAAGGACCTGGCAGGCAAATCAGGGTGAATGCAGGACGGAATTTCTCCTATAACCATTGACAAACAAAAGAGTATAAATGATGCTCAGTGCGGACTAGATATAATCTAACCTCCGCTTAAGGTTTGTGCAAGCACATCAGGATAAATGCTCACTAAGCCCCTAGTCTCTCTCTCTCTCTCTTTCCATTCTCTACCATAAAATATATAAATTTAAGATGAAATTTATTCTATATATTTTTTCCTGCCCTTCTGATGCAACCATGAAAAGCCAGAACTACATTGGGGTGTCTCTAGATCCATTGGAATGATGGGGTTAAGTTAGTCATGTCCTTTCATCTCAGTGGGTCTGTGTTGAGGATGATGGGCATTTGAGGCAGCCCAATTAAAATTCAACACACCACACTCACACAAAATACACAAGGCAACTTGTAGCAGCTGAAGTTTAGGCATGGGGTTAAAATTTACAGGTTAGCTGAAACAAAAGGCTTCCTGAACTGGATACCTTTTGTCATATGTCATAACACTGTAATTGAGAGATGGTGGATCTCTTTGCCAGGAGAGCAGGTGTTGTAGCTGAGGCTCAATTGTGCACCTGAACTGGAAGGTGGACATCCATACTGTACATTCAAAGCTCTCTTATACTGCTTTAACAGTCTTGGCTTCCCCCAAAGAATTCTGGGAACTGCAGCTTGTGAAGACCCTCCTAACACCTCCCAGCACCCTTTGCAAACTGTAAACACTTGCATAACTGCTTAAAGTGGTATGTGATCACCTTAAATGTCTGCTGTGGGTGTGACTTTTTGAAGCCCCCAATTCACCTTTACCAGGAATTCCGCAGAGATCCTCATGCAAAATGCATCTTCTCAAGCTCATCCCTCTTCAGGAAACCCTTCAGTGTGCATTGCAGGGCTGATAGTAAGGCTGACCTGTCTTGCTGGGTTATTTTAAAGGGAGTGCAGAAAGTGTGGGCATGAAATGCTCAAAAATGCTGTCTGAAATGTTGATTTTATTGCATATGTTAAATGCATAAAAAGAATGTAATGGTCCTGAAAAGGAAAACCAGCCAGACTGGGATTTGTGCATGAAAATAGGAAGCAGAAGGGTGGCTTTTCACAATAGTCCTGAGATACTGCACATGAAATCCTGTGACCATTGAAAGAATGCTAATGGGAGAGTTGGGACTTGATGGTAAAGCCCAGGCTTTGCCTACAAAAGGTCATTGCATCTCCTGGAAGGCTGGGTAGATTCCCATCCAAAACCCTGAAAAGGCACAGCTAGCTAGTGGCTAGTCAATACTGAGTTAACTGGACCAATTGTCTGGCATATGTAGCTCCCTGTCAGTCTCAATCATTTACATTGCAAGGGGTTAAATAGCTGAGGCATAGAGCACATCCTTCGATTGGCCACAGGTTCCAGCTTGAAGGTTCATTCCCTAACATCTCCAGGTAAGACTCAGAAAGACGGTCTGCTTGAAACCTGGGCAGCTGATGTCAGCTAGTATAGACAATATTGTGCTCTATTAGCTTTATCAGCATAAAGGAGTGATATGGCCCGGTGGCATAGAGGGGAGCCACAGGAACAGTTGCCCTGTGCACAAAATTGTTAGGGATTGCAAAATTTCAACATCCAGTGCTGCCTCAGTACATCTGTGTGCTTCCATCGCTAGGCTCCGTTGAAAACAGCTTCTCTGTGCAAACCAGGAAATGTCCTCTCTAGACGACAGAATGACTTCTTATCTCTGCGGTTGCATTTTCCTGGGTGATGTGGATGCTGTTAGGCTGTTGAATGCGCATGCATACGCTGTCCATTTTCCTCCCACCCACCCCTCTGTGTGGCCCCGGGCACTGGCAACCCACACTAAGCCACTGATGTGGCCTGGAACTTGAACCTCATTGTTCAAGTCTATGCATATCTACTCCTATTAAATGAGACTTCCTTCCAGGTAAGTGTGAAAAGGATTGCAGTTGCCGTCTCTGAGCCTGGCTGCTGTCACCTGCTGCTTGCAAGCCCAATGTCCAGCGTGCTGTTTCAAAGTTTCGAGCAGAGGTTTTTATCCCAGCCATGCTTTCAATTCCCAACAGCCCATGCTTAACAGTCATGGATGATGGGAGTTGCAACTTGGTGTCATCTGGAGGGCTACAGGTTTCCTGGCCTCCTCTTGGAGAACATTGAGCAGGAGGTACTACTAGGAATGGAGATTAAGATCTCCTACACGGGAAAGCTTGTGTTTTGCTACTATTCCATGGGCTCTCCATTACACCATTGGTCTGCCTTGTTTGACACTGTCTAAGTGTTCCTCTTACAATCTATTTATGCAGTATTTGCTATCTGCTTCCCCACTGAACTGCTCTACTCCAGAGGCATTGCTGTATCCCCTGTTAAATGGAAAGAACTGTGGCCCTTCCCTATTTAGAGGCTGGGTACTCCCATAAAATAATGGCCCCAAGACAGAACTTTCCAAACTGTCACATGAATGCTCCCCGTGCCCCTCCCGGGGCTGGAAAGGGGATAGTTTAACCTCTGGTTTGCTAGTAAAACTGAATTACTGTGCTGTGAAATGATGCATGTCTAAAAAGTGTGTCACCAACATGAAAAGTTTGGAAAGCCCTGCCCTAAGAGGTTACCATGAGTATCTAGTTCATCAGCATCTGATCCCTAGACCTGAGCATAATCAACAGAAGTATGGTGTCCAGATCAAGGGAAGTCACAGTGCCACTCTATTCTGCCTTGGTCAGGCCACACTCGGAGCACTGTGTCCAGTTCTGGGCACCACAATCTAAGAAGGCTATTGACAAGCTGGTAAGTGTGCAGAGGAGGGAACCAAGATGATCAGGAGCTGGGAAACCAAGCCTTATGAGGAAAGGTTGAAGGAGCTGGGATGTTTAGCCTGTAAAGAGGAGACTGAGAGGAGCTATGATAGCAATCTACATATGTAGATTGCTATCATATGTATCTCAAGGGCTTTCACATGGAAAATGGAGCAAGCTCGTTTTCTCCTGCTCTGGAGACCCAAGCCAATGGTTTCTAGGTACAAGAAAGGACATTCCAACTAAACATCAGGAAATACTTTCTGACAGCAAGAGCTGTTTGACAAATCTCCCTTCTGGGGTTGTGGACTCTCCTTCCTTGGAGGTTTTGAAGTAGAGGTTGGATGGCCATCTGGCATGGATTCTTTAGTTTAGATTTATGCATGGCAAGCGGTTGGACTTGACCCTTGGGATCCCTTCCAACTTTGTAGTTCTGTGATTCTGTGATTCCATCTACAGATGCTGTGACCCCAAAGATACAGGACTTGTAAAAGGCTAAGTGGAAATTGACCTCCGATTTCAGGCAGCATCAGTTGGTTAGCCAGGAAGGAGAGAGATCTGAATATCTATGCTGATTTTATATATTTTGTAGTCTATTCGCTGTAAAGAAAGGGTCTCTTAGCCAAGAGGATTTGAAGACCCCCACACTTAACACTGGGTCAAGATCACAGAGAATATCATCATTATTGCCTATATGCCGGAGGAGAAAAGTTATTTGGTAAACCCACTTAGAGACTGCTTTCCCTGGTGCCTTCACACATTTGGTAGGAGCCACTAAAAAAATTGAAAAAGAAATGGGCTTTAATGCTTACAAATCACCTCTGTTTTCTGAGGAAGTGGCATACATGAAACGAATGTTGGGGAATTCTAAATACCAGTTGTTGGAAACCACAGGAAGGGAGACAAGGACCATTGGCCTGATCCAGCAGGCTCTTCTTATGTTCTTATGTTCTGTTTCGAAAAGTGGGTGGAAGCAACTGAAAAAGGGCATGTGAATTTCAGTGGTGGTGGCGTGGGTGGTTTAGCTATCAAGATTTTCGTGTGTGAGAGAGAGAGGGAGGGAGAGAGAGAGAGAGAGAGAGCGTGCACTCCCGGAATGGCAGGACTCAAAGGTTTTTCTACCTCAAGGAGTCAAGTGCTGAATCCCTTCCGTATTGTCAGTACCCTTTCAGCTTTTTCAGACCCAGCCGACATTGTTTTAATTGTGGTTCTTCTCTGCCTTTGTCTGCGTCTGCATTAATATGGATATTTTATTATGGTTTTATTGTCCAACTGATTATAGACAGCTGCACTGGGTGCCTTTTCGGATGGAAACGTGATATAAACGGTTCCAGTGAATTAAAAAATAAACACAGTGTTAATTTTTTACAACTGTTCATAGGAATATAGGAAGCTTTCTGGTGCCAAGTTAGACCACTGATGCATCTAGCTCAGTACTGTTGGCATTGATTGACAGTGGCTCCCCAGAGTTCCAGTCTTCACCAGCCCTTCCCAGAACTCCCCCCCCCCATGTTACCACTTAGTTACCACTAAGCCAGGAGCTCCCCCCCAGAATGTGCTCCTGATATGTGCGCCTACTCTCTTCTAGTGATCTGAATGCCGTGGGATGATTTTGGGGAGATTAGTAAGTGGAACATGTCATCGTTTAGCAAGGGATTGGACACTTAGTGGTTTCTTTTTGGCTCCCTTCCAACAAACTGTATGGTCTTACTTATCCTCAGTTACCCTGGAGGTAAGCAAGGTTTTTTTAGGATGGGTTGGGAATGAGCTGGAGGAGAAAAGGGGATATTTTATGCTGCTTTCCCCCAAATCGTTAACACTAAACAGAATCACTCTGATCTGTCTGTCCACTATAGAGTCAAATAGCTTCCCAAGTGTCACATGTGCTTACCAAAATTACAGCTGTTGGGTTGTTGTAAGCCGGCAGTTGTTTCCTAAAGCCTGCTATTTGTGGGTACTGAGTGTGCTGTAGAAAGCAATCTGCCAAAAAGCAAATGGCTGGTGTGGTGTAGCAAGTGTGGTCTGCCAAGTCCCAAGTTCAGATCTCGCCACTGCATCAGCTCAGCAGACAGAGACATAAAGCAGCCCCCAGATGCAACAGGAAGAAGAGGATAACAACATCTCACCTTATTGAATTGTTGTATGGAGCACAGAGATAATGGGCTCATTCATACTGTTGTTTAACATGGACAGCAAGCTTCAGGAGCCTTCATTGTCCACATGATGTTCTCTTCCATCATTGCCTTTCCCCTTCCACAATCTGGATTTAAACAACAGTATGGATGTTTCCCATGTCTCTGAAACATGCTCAACAAAATTAACATTATTATTGTTACATATTTAAAGATTCTCAAAAGTTGAGAGAAATATGTCACAGTACAGTGAGTTGGGCCCTGTTTTCTTAGGAAAATTGGGCCAGACGATCTGTCCACCTGTCCTAATATTGTGTGTCCACCCATCTTGATATGGTCCACCTTGATTGACAGCTGCTGTTCAGGATTCTAGGCAGACGTCTTTCTCATCACCTGCCAGCCAGTCCTTCCAGTTGTAGATGTCAGGGTTTGGACCTGGCACTTTCTGTCTGCAACACTTGCACTTCCCCCCTGAGATGTCCCAGCCTTGTTATAGAAAGTCTCTCTGCATGTACAAAGAGTCTTCTTTGTACATACCACCTATGGTAACCTGATGAGCTGAGCTTCAGATCAGGCCATTGCTCCCCACCTAATCTAGAGAAAGACCCTTTGTTTCCATTTCAAAGTACTGAGAATTGAGGCTGCTTTAGTGACCTGGCCAGACTTTCATGTAGTGAAGCCAGCCAATGCCTGGACTGAGCAGTAGCTCAGTGGCAGGGACATATGCTTTTCATGCAGAAGGTCCCAGGTTCAATCCCTGTTATCTCCAGGTATGGCTGGGAGAGACCTTTTGTCTGCAACCCCTGAGAGCAGCCGCCAGGTCATAGAACCATAGAATTGCAGAGCTGGAAGGGATCCCAAGGATCATCTCGTTCAACTTCCTGCGATGCAGGAATCTCAGCTAAATCATACATGACAGATGGCCACCCTGATGTAGATGCAACACATCTAACCTCAGCTCCAAGGAAGGAGAGTCCACCACCTTCCGAGGGAGTCCGTTCCACTGTGGAACACCTCTTCCTGAGCTAGATGAGCCAAGGATTTAACTTGGTCTGACCCATCTGCTAACGTTTGGCTTTCTCTGGGGCTCCTTCAGTCCAGGACGACTGCCCTTAGGAGGGCCACTCACCGCTGATCGCCCCCTGCCTTTATCTCCTGTTAAGGAACAGGGACCATTCCGGGACTCGACCAAGTGGCGAGAGCCGCGTGTTGCGTGCTGGAGAGGAGGGGCGGAAGCGGAGAGAGGCGCCAGAAGAAGGCGAAGGAGGAGAAGGCAAGCGCGCTTTGCTGGGCTTTCGGAGCCTCGACTCTCCGCGCGCGCCGGGCAAGAACCCAGCGAAGGTGGCCGGGCGCCGCTCCTCCTTTCTCTCTCCATCACCTGGCAAGCAGGAGGCGGCGACGGGCGAAGGGAAGGTCTGGCGTTGGTATCGGCCAGGGATCCGAGATCTGATTCCCTAGGCAGGGAATCGGCGAGGGGAGGAGGCGGATCTCCTCCTCTCCTCCTTTCCAGCCGTTTGTCTCTTTGCCACCAGAGAAAAAAAGAAAAAGAAAGGCCAGTTGCTCTTGTCAGGGAGGGGAGGCAAGACCTCCCGAAGCTCCAGGGCATCGCTTCTCCCTCTGCCTGGCAGTGAAGGAATTCTGCATCCCGGCTGAAGCATCCTCTCTCCTCTCTCTCTCCTGAGCCATCCTTGTCTGGACCTGACACTTCACGCCAGGCTGTGTCTGGGATTCTGGAACGGGGTAAGGTAATAGAGATGGGAGAAGGTGTGTGTGTGTATGGGGGGGAGAGGTGGTTCTGCCTAAAGCATCCTAAAGGTGAGCCTGAACGGGTCGCAGCAGGGATGCAACCTGTATATATGTGTTTATTGCGGGAGATGGGGAGGGGGAAATGCCCATCTTGCACGCTCGCCTTTCTTGAGGCTGCAATGCCAGGTAGGAAATGCAGGCTCATCTAAGGGGCAAATCCAGTTAATTCGAAGTTGCTACTGGGGCTCAGAAGGTGGCTTGGCATCCCGTCCTGGTTTGCATTGGAAACGACAGGGGGTGCATTGGGGGGGGGGGGGGTCCGGGTTATGATTTTATTTTTTTTAAGCAGTAGCGGATGCTGCTGCTGAAATGAGCCTGAGGGAAAGGGATGGCGGTGTGGAAGGGGGTCTCTCCCCACAGACACACACTCCCCCTCGGTGCCCTGTGCCACAGACCTCTTCTCGTGACCTTGGGGAGCAAAGCGCTGGTTAGCGTTTCGCGCTTCAGATTTCTTTCCGTGTGACGGGGGTTGCGGGTCTGGTGTTTGCTATTCTCCCTTACTTTGCGCGGCTGTCAGAAGGCTCTCGGAACGCCGAGCAAACACAAATCAGCCCCGATGGTGCGGTTTAGATGAGAAAGGCAGAAATGATTATATAGGTTCTATAACAAATCTGCACAATGTATAGAATGACAAAAAAAAAAGCAAAAGCGAGCCTCCACTTCGTTAGCAACTCTCCCCCTCCCTCCCCCCACACTTTGGCATATAGGGGTTGTCATGGATGCCTTAACCCCCCACTCCTTGATTATTTAAATGCCAGCCTCTGTCCCCTTTCGTTCATCGCCTATCAAGCAAGGAGCTGGCCTCGGTCGCGGGCTGAGCCATTGTCGAATGTTCAGAACCACGGACAGCTCCCACAAGCGGCTGGGCGAAAAAAACGGGAGCGAGGGGAAAGGGAGAATTGAGAAGCGTGCGCCTGGATAAGTGAAGACGGCATTTAAATTTAGCCCGTGGGCTTCAGAAGATTAGCCGCATCTTTCTGGGGAAATCGACTGAACCTGTGGCATGTCTTTCTCCTGGGCTGCGAGGACATAAAGGGATGCATTGTACTGGCTCACCCCAGTGACCCCTGGGTTCCAGGTCTTCAGATGCTAGCAGGTTTCAGTAGGCTACTCAAGATCCCTTTGGAATGGGTTTTGTCGGTCCTTGTGGTCTTTAATGACTCTGTTGTTGCGTTCATCTGCTCAAGCCTTTGCACTCCATGATAATTACTTCAGAACCAACACACACACACACACACACACACACACACACACACTGCCCACAGATCTTCAACACTATCCTTACAGTTGCAAACATGAACTACACGCCCCACTAATAAAGCCTGCATTGGGGATATTTTGAAAAATTACCGGCTTTGTGAGCATGGCAGGGTAGTTTAAGGCAATTAAGGGGCAAGTGATCTTTGTTAACTGCTGGTGATCATACTCTTTGTGGCATGCAGAATATGGTAGCCAACAAATGATACCTGCTGCCACATTCCACAATTGGACTGCACATATGAGAGCAGAGCAGGTTTAATTTTCAAACTCAAGCATGGGGTTATTTCAGATTAGGTAACATGGATCTTTCAGACCCACCACCTCTAAAAGTACCCTTCTGAATTCTTCTACGCTGGATTTTTAAAATTCTAGGTTAGGAATCACTAATCTATTTTAGTTGGTGCATAACTTTGCACTGTGTGTTCAGTGAAGGTAATAATCTACAGCATCATGGGGGGCAGTTATTATTATTTCCAATTTTATTGATGAAAAACATTAGGCTCAGCAAGATTGTCTTGCTCAGAAATGCTCAGCTGAAATGCACTCACATTAGATTGTACATGTCAACTGCTGTGCAAGGATTACTTCTGCATTTATCCCCAGGTTGCTGTAAATGTATTTCCAAGGAGTAACTTGCTGGATGTAACCTACCGATAGATAACTACAGTCAAAGTAACAGCATGAGGAAGGGCATAGCACCCATTGCTTTGTTATTTATTAATGTATATACCACTTGCATGCCAAAATGGCTTCTAAGTGGTTTACAAGTGTAAAATCAATTATGAAACACCCACACATTAAATTAAAACATGCAATAAAACAGTTCCATCAAAATATGAAAAAACCCATTATTAAAATATATAATAATCCAAGCCCATCAAGAAGCATAACGATTCAAACAGCTGAAAGATTAATTCGGATAATTAGATCAGGAAATTCACACTCAGGGTTTGTCTAATTCAAGTTTGCGTCTCCAAAAGCCGACAGAATTCCAATACCGAGGGGGCTGCTTGTATTTTGGTATGGAGAGCATTCCACAACATGGGTGCTTCCAGTGAAAAAGCCTGCCTCTGATATTCATCAGGCTGTGGCAAAACTAACTAGGTTCCGTTTGCTGATTTTAATGCCCTTATTGGACAGTGGGGGGAAAGACGGCTTTTCAGGTAACCTGGTGCAGAGTTCTTTAGGGCTTTATATGGAAGTCGCATGACTTACTTGCATAGGAGGTTCTGTGGCTAATAGGCAGTCAGTGCCAGAGCCCCAAACACTGGTGTGCCCAATAAGGAGCATCTTTACTGCAGTCGAGCCTTTAAACCATCTTAGAATGGGGAAAACAAAATGACAGAATTGCAGAATTGCAGAAATGTAACTGATCCACTGAACAAGGAACACAACAGAAGGCTGCATGTCCACTGTTGGGGACTACCGCCCTGCACCAAAGTAATGAGCAATGATCACTCAAGAGGGAGGTACACTTTGTTGTGAGTTTCATTGGCCACCCAACAGGTTATCAGTGCTGTCTGATTACTTGGCATGTGGCAATTAGTGACAAATGCATCCCATTCCATTTGGAATTGCCAGTGTGGGGTTTCCATTTCGCAGAGACCTCTTTCTATACATGGGCTATTGTGTTCCAAAGGCCTCTGGGGAGAAAAGCCGATCTGAGACTTACACACTTGCTGCTGGAATTCTGTCTTGGCTCTCACAATAACGACAGTGGCACGGCCGGCTCTCTTTATAACCGAATCAACCTTATGAGCTACTTGATGCTATCTGGGAGGTGGCAGCAACAGAAATCGCTTAGCAAAGTAAATAAGGCAAAGCTGCCTGGTGACACAGTTATTATTGGCACAGATGTATGAGCCTCCCAAGTATTTAAGCAGAATGTACGTAATTCTAAAGAAGTGAAGCATTGTTGGGAGGTTGATGTGGGTAGGCAGTAGGCGTCTTGCTGGTTTAATTCCCATTTGTTTTGGTCGACTCGAGCATCTTTTGGTCTCTTGAGCAGGTGTTGCATCTTCTTGCTGTCTTACTGTTTTAAATGCATCTTTTCGTGCTCACTTACTTCCTTGATCTGTTAGAATTTAGAAAAGTCCATTTGCTTTTGAAAAGAGAGTGCCAGAGAATTATGGGTGGTGGTATATATATATATATATAGTATCTGTTTATTTACAAAGGTACATGCTGAGTTGATGTAGGCAGCCCGGCAGTGTCAGTCTTCAAAGCAGCATTAGTCTTGCCAACTCTCAAGGAAACAGCCTTTATTAGTAGCCTTCCCCTTCCAAAGCCAATCCTTCCCAGCCATCTCAATAACTCTGCAATGTGTATCTCCTTCACTAACTATGTTCCAGCTACCATAATAATTTGCCTTCAACATCCACCCAGTTAGGTGGAAGGGTGTTTTATAACTAGAAGACACCAGCTGTAAATGCTGATTTAAGAAAACATCATCTAGACATCGGTGTCCATTAAATCATAGAATTGTAGAGTTGGAAGGGACCCCAAGGGTCAACAAGTTGAACCATCTGCATTGCAGAAATCTATGAAGAAGCATCTTTAGCTCTTGGTTCATAAAACCTAGGAGAAAGGTGATCTCACCTGACTCCATTCCCATTACAACATTTTTGTTTTTACAACAAAAGTGCTGACACCCAAAATATCCAACGTATTCATTTTCCTAGTCGGCTTGACGTGACACTTCCC